GGATACTATAAATGCCCCGGCCTTCCTCATCAATGATGTAAGACGCTGGAACAGAGACAAGCTAACCCTCTTAGCCACTGTGGATCGTGCGTGTCTGTCCCTACACACACGCGCGTGTGTGTGTGTGTATGTGTGTGTGTGTGTGTGTGTGTCCTTATTGCTGCATCAGAGTGAGAACCATAAGTAGTTTTTAACCAACAAAGTGAGGTCATTCTTGGAAAGTGAGGACACTTTCTTTGTGTGTGTGTGTGTGTGTGTGTCTGTGTGTGTGCATGCATGTGTGTGTGTGTGTGTGTGTATGTATGTATGTGTGTGTGTGTATGTGCGCATGTGTGCATGTTGCTGCATCAGATTGAGAACCATCACTAGTTTTTAACCAATAAAGTGAGGTCTTTTTTGGAAAGTGAGGACATTTTCCTGGTCTTCATTTTCTGTGTGTGTGTGCTTGTATGCATATGCATTTGTGTGTGTATGTGTGTGTGTGTGTGTGTGTGTACGTGCACGTGTGTGCATGTTGCTGCATCAGATTGAGACCCATAACTAGTTTTTAACCAATAAAGTGAGGCCTTTTTTGGAAAGTGAGGACACTTTCCTGGTCTTCATTTTTCCTGTGTGTGTGCGTGTGCATGTGTGTGCGTGCATGCATATGTGTGTGTGTGGCAGAGAGATGTCTAAAGAGGAAGAGAGAGAGATAGAGATAGAGAGAGAGAGGGAGAGAGAGAGAGGGAGGGTTTATGCTAGCTCTTCAGGCAGCTCTTAGGAGTGTGTACAGTTTGAGCCGAGCCCTGGGAGGCAGCCGTATTCCTCCCCATCACTTCCACTTCATTACTCCGGGTGAGGGCATACATTATTCAGCTCCACGAGCCTCCGTCCACAGGGACCGATACAGCCCTCAACAAACACTTTAACCTTAACTCGCGCATCGATCCGCTCTGTTTATTTATCCATCACCGGCCATGATCTGCCTAAGAAGCTGCCTGTACTCGCTCACTGTTTTATTTTGTGCCAATAGGTTAAAAAAAAAAGAATAACTATCTGTTGAAATTATTTAAATTAAAAAATCAAACATGGTGTTCTTCCTCTAAAATTTGCTATTAGTGCAGTTTAAAAAAGTCAGAGGTGATCGATAACAATTAAAGAAGCTACTTTAAACCCTGTAATGCCAAATGTATCATGTTTGATTCATACGGTTTCTGAAATGTTTTGCGTCTGACACCTTTTGCTTAATTTAATGGTAAAAACTTTGCTCAAAATACTATTTTACACAATCAGATACACCTGATAACAGGGGCAGAAGACTACACAAAAAATAATCTTGATTTATCGCATAGTAATACATTTTTAATATTGAAAATGTATTTATGTTTTTTCTTTTTACATATTTTGTTAAAAGGCCAAATAAAGACTTCAAACCAAAAAAAAAAAAGGAATTTTCTCTTTTGTTTTATTCTTGGATCAGGCTTTAACGGGTTAAGGAGTAAGTGAATAATCAGGAAATCCCAGGAGTGAAATTTAGAAATCAGTTTGAAGCGCATGGTGTCACACCAAAGTGTCTGATCTGGGTTTCCAGGAGGAGGAAAACGGGGATTCACAGCTTGGTTTTTCCTCCTTAATCTCAGCTCAGAGCGGAGGTGCCATCGTCTGGTGGGCTGGAGTTACTGCAGTTTAAACCGGTGGTGGAGAGGAGAGGAATGTCTGTGGTATAGGGCAGTGTTTTTCTACCTTTTTTGAGCCAAGGTACAGTTTTTCATTGAAAAAATCTCGAGGCACACCAACCAAAAATGTTAAACAAATCTGTATCCGCCTATAGTAACACTATAGTTATTCTTATTTTATTCTAATATTATCTTAGGTGTCTTGAATAGGAATCAACTAAACACAAAAATGTATTTTTATCATATTTTATATTTCTTCTTTCAAATTGCTCTTAACATGTCCACTTCAATATACAAAATTAAATACAAAATCTAGTCATAAGGAATTATTACATGATTACGCCACCAGTCACTAGAACAGCACAGACACTCAAAAATGGCATATTATTTGCAGATAATTAACTCCTTATCAAAAAATCTTTTTAGACCAATTAGGTGAAATAGGATGATTTTCTACGGCACACCTGACCATCACTAACGGCACACTAGTGTACCGAGGCACAGTGGTTGAAAAACACTGGTATGCGCATTTTTAGCTGCTTCTCTAACTGGACCTCCCAGGGTTTGAGGCCCACCAGCAACGTCTGCCTCAGATGGCTCTTTTTTTTCTGGTGACTCTTATTTTTCTGATGGTTATTTTTCATTGTTTTAAGACGTTCTTCTTCCATCTGTGAAACACAAGACACTGAGACAATTTATACATTTCACAAATCACTCTTCAGTCATAATCTGCTCATCCTATTTAACCCTTTCAAGCCTGATCCAAGAATTAAACAAAACAGAAATGTACTTTTTTTTGGTTTGAATTCCTTATTTGGCCTTTTAACAAAATATGTAAAAAGAAAAAACAGAAATACATTTTTGATATGAATGATTTATTACTATGCAATAAGTCAAGATCATTTTTTGTGTAGTCTTCTGCCCCCTGTTATCAGGTGTATCTGATTGTGTACAATAGGATTTTGAGAAAAGTTTTTACCATCAAATTACACAAAAGGAGTCAGACGCAAAACATTTCAGAAACCTTATGTATCAGATATGATACATTTGGCATTACGGTGTTAAACAAAAGGCTGCTCAGCGTCTGATCTCCTTATTTCACATTTAGAAAAAACACATCCTCCTTTAATTCTGTGTGCCGATTCCCATTCTGACCGCTTTTTCAGATTATGAATCCACACCAAACGCTGCGAGCTGAGCGCGATAGCCGTCCGTTAAGTGCTTCTCTTTCTAGTGCCCTGACATTCCCCGGAGAAGATCTGGGCAATAATTTCCCCAGATAGCCCCTGTGGGAACGGGCCTGCTGGTTTTCTGTGTCCGCTCCAATCACAGCGCTAATGGAGAGGCGGGTTAGCATCTGTGACAGTGGGAAACCAGATCTCCACTCCCCCCGTGAGTGTGTCTCTAGCAGATAAACAGTTGGCAGGTTTCCCCTTTTCCCTCACACACACAC